AATATCAACAATAAATAAATCACAGTAATTAAAAGACGAAATTCAAAATATACTAAAAATTTAGAGACACTAAATGTTTTAAAATGTGTTTTTCTTTTGCTAAAATGTTACAAAAAAACAAAAATAAAACCAGAATGTGAGATTTTTAAATGAAGTATTTAAATGTTAACGTAATTTATCTAGATAAAAAATGACGAAACAAAATTAGTTTATCTTACAAATTAATGCCTAATAATAAGTCCACTAATTTTAGCTCTCTAAAATTAGTAATTTGATTCCAAACTTACCAAACCTCGAAGTTGCCCTGCTTGGCTTGAACACTTGTCCTCCCTCCCAGGACTCCCAGCATGCCTTGCTGCTATGGGTGGGGCTCATGGGAGGGTGAATCTATATTTAGCTGCCCCTGGACCTGCTCCTCGTCACTCTTAATACCCCTCAAACTCCCTCTGTGTGTGCTCCGGGTGTATTTTGGGGAGGCTGAAACTCAACACCAATATGCAGTGGACAGTTATGACACACATTTGTACATCTGTCTTTGCGAGGACGTTATGCTGCTGTGATTATGAGCCGAAACCTAAGACTAAGTCCTGAAACAGGTCTTTGGAGGTTTGTCCCACAATGAGGACTGACCAAAGTGTCCTGATGTAGTTGGAGATTTGCACAGGTCCTCGCAAAGATAGATAAACCAGCACAGTCACGAACCATTACAGAGCAAAACTCGGGTTTGATTCATGATTTTTTTTTTCTCTACTGACTTGAATGGACCATGACTTTTACGCTTTTCTTCAGCGTGCATGTTTTAGATGAAGAACAAGTTTTTCCTGATGTGTGATGATTATATTCTTGGAGAGTTATAAACAGACTAGTGGGGAAGTCCCCTCTGAGTGTTGATGCTGGTTTGTGTATCCGTCACAGGATTAGGGCGGCAGGTGGCGGAGGTGGAGGTGGTGTGGATGCTCGTCCATGTGCTTGCAGTCAGTCATCTGATCAGATTAGCTGCTGACCTTCAACTAACAACAGAAGAAAAAAACTGAAGCCAAAAGAACCTGAAAGATGTCACTTATACTTTTCATTACTAAGAAATTCAGTAAATAAATGATACATTTCTTGTTTAAATTACCTTTTGAACAAAATAAGAAACTATAAAATAAAAGCACTTGTAGAAACAAATTCAGAAAGTAAGGGAAACATTTAAAAACTATCTAGAAAATATAACTGACCAATAGCAGAATCTGTTTAGAAAAGATCAAACAAAAAAAAACCCAAAACATACAAAAATCCAGAAATTCAATTATTATTAATATTAAAATTAATTTAAAAAATCAATTTAATTAAAATCATTAGAAAATAAAACTAAAAATATATTTATATGAAACATAAAACAATACATAAATAAAAAGTAGCAAACATCATATAGAAAGAAAATTGAAAAACGTTGTCATTTCAAAAAACTGTCGGGTCACAGGCCACAGAGGCTTTGACCTTTGACCTCACACATGCTGACTCTGCCCTAATTTTAAAAAATGCCATAGCTGAAGTGAATTCTCTTCTAAAGATGTCTCACACACAGCACTCAGATGTATTGTGATACAGCTGGTTCATGACTTATAGAAGGACTGGAACATGAATGTGTTCTCACTGCTTTGTTGCCATCAGTTTGCTTCTATCTGCTTTAAATTTCAGCTTTTTGTTTGTTTTGTTTGGGTTTTTTTTCACTGCTTTGCATTTACATTTAGTTGTTTTTTATTATTTTTCATTGGTTTGTGTCATTTGCAGTTTATTTTTAGTCCATTTATTTCTCTGTCTGTGCTCAGCTTGAATCTCTCTTGGGTTATTATATGTCTCTTTCCTGTCATTTAGTTTCTGTTTGCTGTAGTTTTTGAATTTGTGTCTATTTTTTCATATTTTTAGTTGTTTTGTAAAAAGTTTGCTTCACTTTGCGCTTGTTTAGTATTTTGATGTGCATCTCTTTTTGTTGTTTTGTATCCTTTGGGAATTTTTCTGGAAATTTTTCTTTTCTTTCTGGTTATTCTCTTTCGCTTCATTTTTGCATCTCTTGTCTTGCTTTGGGTGTTTTTCGTATTTTGGCATGCTGTTTGGCTTTGGCAGCAAACATTTGGCAGGTTTTTCATGAGCACAAACACACATACTCAACTCTACTGGTCAACCCTCAAATGCATCTTCCTTACAAATGTGGCACCATCTGAAGCAATGTTACAACAAATAAATAGTCGACCAAACAGTAATGTCCTTAATTCTTACATGTGGTCCCTTTTTGTCTCTGCTTCTGCTTTTGCACCTGTCTTTAAAATTTTCTCTGTCCTTTTTGGTCATTTTTCATTTTTATTCTGGTTACTAAACATTTTTTCTTTACAGTTATTTAGTTTGTACTTTAGTTTTCTTGGTTATTTTCTGTCTGTTTTTTTCTGTTTCAAATGTGGTCATGTTTTGTGCCCATGAAAAAAAATTCATATATCCTTTTTTGGGTTATTTTGCATTTCATGTAAACAGGAACTATTTGGCTTAATTTTTCTTCATGTTTGTTTGTGGGTGTTTTTGCCTCTTTCTATTTATGTTAAATGTATAGTTTTGCATTTTTTTGTATCGTACTGTGATGCATTTGCATCTCTTCCAGGTTGTTTTGTGCTCATTTTATGTGTTTATGTGTATTTTGGGGGGTTTTTTGGTGTGTAACTTCCAGAGGGTGCATTAGGGAATCCTGTACTACCCAATTCTTACCTGGGTACATTGCCATGGTAACTAATGGTGTGCATACCTAATCTTCTTGGAGCGGGTTGTAATGAGCATGACATCACTGCGTACTGTGCAATCAAGTCCCAGGTGTAATATTTCCTGGAGAATATTTTGGACCTCTTTACAATTGACTGTGAGGGTCTAAAGTTTTTTTCAATTACATCTAATGTCTTTGTATTTCCCTGTTGAGCATCAGTAACAAAGGTAAAATCATCTATTTGTACTTGTGGACTTTCTGTCAAATTTGCAAATTGAGCCTATATTTGAAAATTTTTGTATTCTTTACCATTAAACACCACAAACACCACAAAGGCTGCAACTGAATGAATTTATGGGTATATGGTATGTTGAACCTACTATTTAGTAAACGGCTTTCCAACATAAAATTTAAAGTGATTCACTAGCACACAGGTCCCCTTAAGTCCTTGGGCTCCATGGATTTGCTGTGTAAACTTGTTTTCGTCCTTCCAGGACTAAACACCCTAATCCTAATTCTGAGTTCAAGCTGAAATTTAAAAACAAGTTTTAACTCAGATGTCCTCTCTGAAGCTGACACACACAGCTGGTGTTAACCACAGACGTCAACTGGCTATGACAGTGGCCTGAAAATAGACCGCTACATACCTCCACTTATAGATCTAAAATAGCCACAGAAATAAAATGTGTGACTAGATCAATCACCGTGTCCTCTTGTGTTCTCTGCAGGTCTTGCAGAAGCTTGGCAAAGCAGATGAGACCCGAGATGTTGTCTTTGAGGAGATGGTGGCCAACTTCAACAAGCAGATGGTTTGGAGACATTTTTAACTTCCGCACCTCTGATGCTGCTGATGCCCATAAACTGCACTTGTTAATGTCGTAACATATTTTATCATAGTGCTTTATTTTAGTTTATCCTCTAATTAGCATTTATAAATAAATCTGCTTAGTAGTTTAATTAGATTAATAATAGTTGTTGCAACTCTTGTAATTTTCCAGTTAACATTAGTGCTGGGCAGCATAGAAGAAACATAACATATTAAACTAAAGTTAAACCAAAGGTCATACGCTTTTTAGCATCCCTAGCACCTCAACAGTGACTTCCTGTGTGATTTACCCTTCACAATAAAGTAACGCACTGTACTTTCTGTTTCAGTGGGGGTTTTTTTGCTTGAATTTTATAATTGCTTTTACTGATTGTAGTTTTCATTTTTATTTCCATTCAATTTTTGTTTTTTGTTTTAAACATTGTTGTTGTTGCTCACTGTGCTTCCTGTTTCAGGGAGAAGGCACCAAACTGCAGAAGGACCTGAAAGCGTACCTGGCAGCAGTGAAAAGTAAGTTGGCAAAAAGGCTACATGCTGTGCTTTAACATGTATCATAGCGAAGCACCTAGTTTGTTTGTTGCTGAACTCTCCAGTCGGTTCATATCACTTGTTAAGTCAATTGTAACCAAAACATGCTGCACACAGACACATTTATTATGGTTTCTTGAAGCTTTCATATAGTCTGTCTTTACAAACATTTGTGAAAGAATGGGTCCTTCTAAAGAGCTCACTGAATTTGAGCCTGGCTGCAACAGCATGTCACCATTACAACAACTCAGTTTGTAGATACTCCACAATCAACTGTGAGTGCGGTTACTGCAAACCGGAAGTGTGTAGGAACAACACAACTCAGCCACAAAGAGACAGTATTTAATTGACTAGTGGACTAGTTGTACACGTTTCTACTACAAAGAGATGTTAAGTGACCAAAAAATATGGATCAAAGTGATAATAAAGACACAAAAAAACAGACTCAACACGAGAATCCTGCAGAGATAACCAAAACAACAAGAGACAAGCAATACTATGAGAAACAAAACAAAATGTAAAATTACAATCAAGAGCGTAAATTATTTTTCTCTGGTCATCTTGTGTGTAATTATGTGTGTTTTTTCTGTTTATGTTTCAGCCATGCATGACGCGTCGCGGCGGTTGCAGGACTGTCTGGCGGACATGTACGAACCGGACTGGTTTGGCAAAGAGGAGATGGACGCGTTGGCTGAGGTGAGACAGGAAATAAAAACATCTCACCCGAACTGCTCTCTTCTCTGTAACAGCATCCGTTCATTAGCTAAATGATATAGCTGTTTGATTATAACAAAAATATCATAAAAACTTCAGTCTATGGAGGGCCATAACCACCAAAATAAAACAAATAAACAAATAAACAAACAAATAATAAAGATGCTATTCCACCAAATATGAAAAAGAAATATAAAACACTTGTGTTTCTGTTTATCTATTTATTTACTTATTTATGTGTTCAATAATTTTTAAAAGGTGGCTGTGGTCCTCCATACATTACTGTATTTCTCTTGTGTGACTCTTTCTTCGATGGCTTTTTCTTCTTTTTCTTCCCGCTAACATACTTAATTTCTTTTTCTTAACTGCATGGCTCTCTCCTTCCACCCTGAAGGAGTTGATAGAGAAGGAGATGGACATTAACCTGGAGGTAAAATATAGAAAACTTTGAGTGTGTCCCACAGATCTCATCAGGACAGATTGTTTTAAAAATCAAAACAGAGAGAAAATGTCTTTACTTCTACCAAAAAGCTCAGACTGGTGAGCTTCTTGAATTTTTAAACATATGACCGATGGAAAGTAAAAGCTTAAAACTAATTCTGGTGATCATTGTGGGACACGCTGGTGAAGTAGGGGCTTTTAGTTTGGTTTTAGTGTAGACTCTTTAACAGACTTTACTGTAGCGACATATCCAGAAACAACCTAGAATAGCTGTCTGAAAAGCATTTAGGATCACTTTATTCTGGTCGGTAGCGGATATTTAATAGTATGCAAATCATCAGAAAGACTGAAAAACAACGGCCAGTAACCATTTAACAGGCAAAACAACAACAACTAAACACTGTGTAAAAACTGTGAGCAGCACTCTAAACTGTAGCTGTTCAATGAACAGGATTTCAAGGAAGTATAGGAAACATTCAGGAAAAGCTGGGAGTTGATATGGATTTCCAGTTTACTTTAGTTTTACAAGCCGAGAAAGCTGGGAGCTCATGGGTCCAGGTGAGCCTTTCAAAGTAAATGAGCAGTGACCTGCATAAATGCAAATGCAAGGCAGTTTACAGGTTGTTAACCTCTGGAAATCAGATCCATTTTACACTTGTTTACAGGTTAAAAAATGGTGTTTTTGTGCAATAAATAGACACAGAGGACACCAAATTAAGTGCCAACCTTTGGAGAGGCAGTACTTTGGATAGCCACTAGAGACTGGCTCCAAAGTGAGTCAGTCCCCAGAGCATGTTAAAATGTGCACCTTCACAGCAGAAATGAGCATGTTTGCAGCCCTCTACCAATGGCATTTTGGTCTTTGTCTTAATATTAATTTAAAAAAGGCCACAGTTACAGTTACTATTATACCACTATAAAAGAAAAAAAAAAAGCAGGTCCCCAAAAATCATCTACAAATTAAAATGTCAGAAAAAATAGAAGAATAAGTGCTGTGGAGGATGTAAGAGTGAGTAAAAAAAAAGAAAAGTAGATGTTTATGTAATTGTGTTATGTGTTTCAGGATACAGACACAATGTGGTTGGATTACCATCAGAGCATCACGGACAAATCTCTGCAGAACATGGATATGTACCTGTCTCAGTTTCCTGACATCAAGGTGAGCGTGTTTCTGAAAATTAACCACAGGACAAAAACAACTGCACATGTTGGCTTTTCTAAATAAAAGGTGTTTGTCATACTGTGTTTGAATGAAATGCAGTGTTTGAAAGATTATCAAACACCCGCTGAACTTGCAAGTGGATAATAAAAATCTGTTTAGTGTGTAGACGCACTGGGATTTAATTTGAAAATCCTCTTTTCTTGAAACTTTAAAAACTGATAATTTGCTCCTATGTTAAAGACATCTCTTACACATGTAAACACTACTTTGTTTGTTGACAATCTTGTGCTGATTCTTATACAGTATTTCCAAAAGTCTTGAGCCACCCCTCATTTCTTTACCTTTTGCGCTCATTGAACCAGACGTTGTAGTAATTCCTTAAAGTGCTCTTGAGCAATATTTCTCCAGGTTTTCCAAAGATCTTTCAGTGTCCTAAGTGTTCCTTAGGACATTGGCTGTTTTTTCACTCATTTACATTCAAGTCATTGTACCTGATCACTTTCAGAGGAATGTTTTTTTTCTGTTTCAAACATACAAAAGATTCCTAAGTCAAAGGACAATCCAGTGCTGTGTCTGCACATAACAGATAACTTAGCAAAGAACCAGATTTAAATGGAATCTTTAGGCACTTTGTTACTAGCAGCTTGATGCAAAAACATCATTTGTTCCCATTTCTTCAGCTGAATCTATGAAAAATGTCAAACTGTGTTAAAATAGTATATTTGTATCAACAAGCTGATTCCCAAAGAGCTATTAATTCAAGGCTTGGCATATCTCAGCATGGTGTGCAGTGTGTCTTTAAAAAATTTGAGGAAACTGGATAAGTCGAGGACAAAAGAAGAAGTCTCAGATCTAAAAACTGTCTCTGTCCTGTCTGTAAGAAACAGTAAAAAATAAAATCCAGCAAAGATCTGATTCAGGACATGTGAGATGCATCCAGACTTTAAGCTGATGATCTACTGTTCACTGAAGCCTCATCAGAAATGGTCTCAGTGGAAGGCTGGCTATCAAGAAGCCATTTTTAATGAAGGCAAACAGGGAGAAAAGGGTGAGGTATGAAAATTACACAAGAGCTGGACTGAACTGAAAATCAGTGGAAACAGATCTGATGGAGTGATTAATCCAAAGCATTGTATGTTTGGAGAAGATCAGCAGAGAGGTACAACAGTGAGTGCCTACAGCCATCTGTAAAACACGGTGGAGGCTCTGTCATGGTTTGAGCTGCATTTCAGTCAATGGTGTTGGAGATCTTGTTAAAATTGATGAATTAAGAACTCGGAAATGTACCATCAGATTTTAATCCACCATGCAAAACCATCTGAAAGCATTCAATTGGCAACAGCTTCATTTTTTTCAGCATGATAGTGATCCCAAACACACTGCCAATGCAGTAAAATCATATCTGGAAATAAAAACACACAGTGGAGCACTATCAGTCATGGATTGGCCTCGACAGAGCATGGACCTCAACATTATTGAAGCAGTGTGGGATCATGTTGACAGAGAACAGACCAAATGTTGACTTATAGACTTGTACAAACTCTGTTTTTGCCCTAAATGCTGTATTTACATGTATGTTTGCACGTTTCAATAAACATGTCTCTATTTCCTCACAAAACATAAATAAAATAAGGGCTGAGTTGATAGTTTTGCACAGTATTGTATGACATTAAACCCTTTAAACATATTTAAAGCTGTGTTCTCCTGCAGGCTCGTATAGCAAAGCGCGACAGGAAGTTGGTGGACTTTGACAGCGCACGCCATCACTTCACCTCCTTGCAGAAAGGCAAAAAGAAGGATGAGGCCAAGATCGCCAAGGTAACCGTCACTGAGAGTGTGTGCACGTTTGTGTGTGTTTGAGCATGTTTAATGGAACAGTTCAGAGTCTTTGGCTGAAGGTGGACTGACTTTTTTATGTTATATGTAATGGCATCATCAATGTGTGAAGGCAAAAGGTAAATCTTGTATTTGACCTAATCATATTTTACTTATGTACTAATCAGCAAAAGTTCCTCATCATACTGCAGGAGCACAGCACTCACAGAGGGTTAAAAAACCACTGGTCCTTACACCACCTCGAGTCAAAGGATCAAAATGACTGTTTAACTAATTAGTGTTTGTTAAACTCGTGGAACCTCTCGCTAACTAAATCCTCATTAACATGTTTGCATTTGTCTTGAATTCTGGTTTGCTTTCTTCTCCTCCCTCTCTCTCTCTCTCTCTCTGTCTCTCTCTCTTGCATGGTGTGTGTGGTTAGCCAGCAGCCCTGTTGGAGATGGCGGCTCCCAGCTGGGCTCAGGGTTTGATATCAGCTCACCAGGTGGCTCAGACTAACCTCTCCTACAACCAGGTGAAACTCTGGTTCATCACTGACAACCCCCTCCTCACCTTGAAAACTGTAACCCAGGTCCTTTGACATGATCAGCATTGTGAAGCGTGGAGTTATTTCACAGCAACTTGTGACAGACAAGTCGTCAGCCAGTGAGTCAGCTGGGATTCTCCCAGCATCAGATCGATGCTGCCAGATCTGTCGGATACTGCCGGAGTACAAGAAAAGCAGAGGCCTCTGAGAAAAGTAAACAAAGTCGTAGAACTTGTTACTGTTGCTGCATTTCTCGTCTTCCTACTAGCACAGTATTGTAGATGACGTAAAAGATTGAGACCTCAGGTCCTATCCACATAGGCCTTTTGAGAAATGCCACTTCTTTAAATGTTTTGCCCTGCGTCATCATTGTGTAAAACAAGGATTTTCTCAAAAGTGTATGTGTTTATCTTCTTTTTATACATCAGTCTGTGTGTTGTGTTATTGTTTTTATGCCAACATTGGCCAACATTTATATACAGCTCGATTTAGATGGGCACACAGTGCATTGGTGTGCTCTTGTCAGTTCAAATAGCAATTCTTTAGCCAACAGGCATATCCTGGGTGTTTCTTCTTTCTGACTCTAATAGTGACCATAATTTACAATTAATTTGGTGTTTTATGCAGTATGACCTGAGACTAGCGACTGAGACCTCA